CGACCCCGATCTAGATCTCTGATAAACCCTCCTATCTTGTTTTGACAGTTGCACTATAAAATCGCTCCAACGACGTCACGTTTGTATCAGCCGCCTTGAAAGACCCCAGAATTGGGGGGAGAATTCCTGTGAAGTGAGGTTCGTCATTTTGGTGCTGGCCCCTCCAAAAATGGTAGGTTTGCTTTCCTTCTGGGCTGGTGTGGGACTTGATCTTCCTTGCCTGGGTGGAGTTTCCAAGCAGAATCCGTCTGTAATTCCAGTGATGGTGAAAGAACTCCCATGTGGGATATCATATGAATAGAATAGAAAAGAACAGAACAGAATAAATATTAGAATGTAGAATAGGATTAGAATAGAATAGAATAGAATAGAATAGAATAGAATAGAATAGAATAGAATAGAATAGAATAGAATAGAATAGAATTAGGATAGGATAGGATAGGATAGGATAGGATAGGATAGGATAGGATAGAATAGATTAGATATTGGAATGTAGAATAGAATAGAACAGAACAGAGAATGGAATGGAATGGAATGGAATATTGGAATGTAGAATAGAATAGAATTAGAATAAATATTGGAATGTAGAATAGAATTAGAATAGAATAAGAATAGAATTAGAATAGAACAGAATAGAATTAGAATAGAATTAGAATAGAATTAGAATAAATATTGGAATGTAGAATAGAATAGAATTAGAAAAGAACAGAATAGAATAGAATAGAACAGAACAGAACAGAACAGAACAGAACAGAACAGAACAGAATAGAATAGAACAGAACAGAACAGAACAGAACAGAACAGAACAGAACAGAATAGAATAGAATAGAATAGAATAGAATAGAATAGAATAGAATAGAATATTGGAATAGAGAATAGAATAGAGAATAGAATAAATATTGGAATGTAGAATAGAATAGAATAGAGTGGAGTGGAGTGGAACAGAATAGGAATAGAGTGGAATCTAGCGGAGCGGAACGAAACAGAACAGAATAGAATAACAAGAGTTGGAAGGGACCCTGGAGGTCTTCTAGTCCAACCCTCTGCCTAAGCAGGAAACCCTACACCACTTCAGACAAAATGGTCATCCAACATCTTTTTAAAAGCTTCCAGCGTTGGAGCATTTCCAACCTCTGGAGACAAGTTGTTCCCCTGATTAATTGAAATTAATTCATTCAAAGCGCGGCTCCCTTACTTTGCTCGCGTTTGCCTCCTCAGAAAAGTACCAAAACGGCAACCGAAGTGGGCCGGACTTTTGCCACCATGTTTTCGGACATCACCTTCCGACAGAAACTCCTGGAAACCAAGACGGAGGAAGAATTCAAAGAGGCTTTGGTCCACCAGCGTCACTTGCTGATGGTGGTCAACCAGAGGCCCTCGGCAGTGACCGGCGACCACAAGGCTCATGGTTCCAAACCGCTGAAGGTACGGGAGGACGGGCGTGGCCGTCGCCTGGTTTCAGGTCCTTGGAATACGACCGTGTCTCTCTTAGAAGAGTTGCTGCTTGCAGGTCTCGTCCTAAGTTCAAGGAAGTGTAATGACGGGTGGTCCTTGACTTACGGCCACCGTTGAGGCCAGAGTTTCCATGGCTAAGCAAGAGAGTCACGTTTTGTGACCTCCCTCGCTAGAGTTGTTAAGCGCAGCGCCACGGTTGTGAACTTAGCCCCGTGGTTGTAAGTGAATCGGGCTTCCCCGTGGCTGGTCAGAAGGTCGCAGAAGGGGGATCGTGTGATTTTGCCCCCCCTCCCAGGGACGCTGCGACCGTCGTAAATCTGAGTCAGAGGCCAAGGGTCCGTGCTTTGACCCAATGCCCCTGGGATGGCTGCAACGGTCGTAAGTGTGAAACATCGGCGATACGTCACTTTTTTTATTTCTTAGTGGGGTTGTGGGTTCTCACGCTCACCAAATGAATGGTGGTAAGTCAAGGATTACCTGTACGTAGTTTTAATTTTTATGCTCCGCTACGTAACCTCACCTGGAGGAGGAGGTTGGTTGAAAGTT